TTCATGTCTTGTGTTGTTATCTTTTGGTTTGTTTTGAATAGTGTAGCTAAGTTTCTATCTGATGTTTTTTGTTGTATGTCTTTCAATGGCATGTTTTCTTTCTGTGTAGGGATGTTATTCTATTCTTCTCTTTTTTATTATGACTCTGTGTGAGATTTGACCCCAATATTTGTTGTTGTTTGTTTTATGTGAAGTTAGTTTTTCTGAACATTTCAGTTGAGACGTGCTTCAGAATAGCTGTTCTAACTTGACTGGATTTCCTCTTCTGATGTTTTCATTTGGCATTCAAAAACATGGTTGCTTGTTTCCTGGCATTTCCTGCATTTGTTTCCCTTTCTGCTTTGGTCTAGACCTTCTTTTTCTATGTCTGTTTATTCCCTGCTCTGTTGAATTCTGTTTCCACTTCTAGAAGTTTCTCTTCTGTGAAGGGTCTGTCTTGGAAGGGAGACTTGTTGCCCCTTGTTCACTTATTTGTTTCTCTTATTGATCCATCACACACATTCAATAATTGAGAGGGCAGAATTCTTCCAGCCCCACTGCTATTCCCAAATCAGTCTGTTCTGCCTTCCTGTGAATTCTATTCAATACTTTGGGTTTCTCTTGTTCTCAAGTCCTTCAGACATTCCTTCATTGCTTCCTTCTTTTCCCTCTTGTCCAAATACTGATACTGTGAAGATATTGTAGCTATTGCTGGTCTGTTCCATTCTCTTTGTATTTTGAAGTTTTGGGGGTATATTGATATCATGTTAACTAGTTTGTAGTAGTTGTTGTGGATTTGTTTTGTACTGTCTGGTTTTATATGAGGATTTGGAGATAGTGAAAACCATGCTGCCCTTGCCGCCGTCTTTTCAGAATGCCTCCCTGTTAAAATGTTTCTACTTTAGCATACTAAACACACCAGCAGGTAGATGGCTTCAGGTTTCTTATGCTGGAGAACAGAAAGGAGTAGCTATTAAACAATACTGCTGCTTCTAGGTAAGAAATCCAGAAAGCACCAATGATTTTGGTTGAAGGCTTCTGACTGGAGGAACACTATTTTATTTTGTTTTTAGTATTTCTTGCAAAGTTTGATTTTATTGTTCAGAAACTTGACAGCTGCCCTAGAGCGTGGGTACTCTCACTGTTTCATATCATCCTGAAATTATGCAATGTTTCTTAAAGCCAAGCTTTGAAATCTTTTTTAAAATATCTCTTATTGCCATGTGGTATGTTATGGGTTAATTCTAGCTTTGCTTTCTTATGATGCCTGTTTTACTTACAACAGGAAAACTGTAGTCTGGGCTTTTTTTTTTTTTTTTTTTAATCAACAAGCATCTTATGTCCTTTGTGCTTATTCTAGAAACAAGTAAGACATGGTCCTTTCCCTGAGGATCTTGTTTAGTCCATCTTGTCTGTCTCTTGGACTGATACAGGAAGGAACAAAGGGAACTGGAATCTTTTTTACCAACTCTTTTCCTTCTACTGGCACCCCAATTCTAAGTTATTTAAGCATATCTTGTAGGTGATATTAATGAAAAATATCGTGCCTAATAGGTAAGTATTGTGCCTAGTTATGGTGCTATAGTTCTGATTTGGTTTGGAATTTAATTTTATCTTGTCACTACAAATTTCTAAGATTTTAAATGAAAGTCTGAATTAATCAGTGCACACTCTCATCAACTTGAGGAATGTACTTTGGCTAAGTGGTCTAAATTGCTATGTTTGCTTACTCAGAGTTGCTGAGGCATAATGGTTTTTCTCCTACATGATATTTAGGATAACAGTAGAGGCAATTTGTTGCATCTTTCTAATGTATTTTCTACCACTTAAATTTGGGCAAAGAAGCAAATGGCAAGTCTATAGCTTTGTATTTTAGTCTGTTTTATTTTGATAAATCTCCTTGGATAATTCCTAACCTAAAATTTATTTTCTTGCAACTTACTAAACAGATGCCTTCTTTCAGAACAGGAATAGGAGATGGCTAGTTATGTCTATAAACAATCCATTTATAAATTTAAGACTTTCTTTCCTCTAGTGGAATAATGGTGAAGAACATAGTTCTTCTGAGTTAGTTTGCCTGCTTCCCAAATACCAGCTCTACCATTTTGTAATCTGGACAGTTTTCATTTTTCCTTTTCTTTATCCATTTCTTTTCTTTTGCAGTATTGAAGATTGAACCCAGGTCCTTTTGCATGCTAGGCAAGCACTCTACCATTGAGCTACATTGTACCCAACCCTGACACTGGATAGCCTCTTTATGTGTTCATCTCCTCATGTGTAAATGTGGCAGTAATATCATAGTGATGATTAAATTAGATAATACATGTGCATTATTGTGTGTTTAGCATGTATTAGGCAATGTTCTGTGCAACTGGAATATAAAAGCAAGCAAAATGGTTCCCTGATTGGAACTTAAAGTATTGGTGAGGGAACAAATTAATTAGAAGCACCTGAAAGCATATAAAAGTACAAAGATGACATGTGCAGTGGAGAGATATGTGGCCCTAATGTCATGTTATCTGGACTTGTGTTAACTGGGAGTTTACAGAAAGTTTCTCTAGGGAAGACAGAGTGGGGATCTTAAGAAAAATGGATAGTAATGAACTAGGTAATGGTAGGTGTTTGGTGCATGTGTGGGTGAACATAGCTGGACAAGAGTGCCCCAGATAGAAGAAAGTATTGGGGAATGACTCTGTGGCATCGTGAATATGAGGAACTGAAATGGGCCTGCTTGTGAAAGGAAGAGTACTGAGGCCTCTGTTTCTGGACAGGGAGTGGGAAGAAGGGTCACATCTCAGGGGTCCTTTATAGACCATGTTTTTGAATATAATCTAGCCAAACAGTGTTAGATATTTGACCTCAATAGGCATATTTACAGTGAGAGATTATTATTGTTATTATTATTTTAAAATCCCCTAGTAGTTATTCCCACACTAAATAGATTTGTACACCTCAATATTTATTCATTTGGTTCTTTTCCCCAGTCTCTATTGTTGCTCTTCTCTGAATGCTAATTCCTCAGTCCTTCCATTTAGGAATAAAACTGAGAAGATAGCTTTGTTTCTTTCAATCAATTTTACTATTTGAAATAGAATTAGCTTTTGTATAACTTTAGGTAAGATAAATGAAAAACAATTGCCAACATGTTACCTACTGTGACACTTATAAATATTTTATGCTTCTTAGCCTTTGTAAAATGCTCAAATGCTGTCAGTTGTTGTCTATCTTCAACAAACCAAAGCTGAAATTATTAGAAATGTTGGTGTCTTATGTTGGCAGGAAGCTCAGAGTGATTTCAAATGTTTTGATCTTATCCAGAACCAACTTTTGGAAATGTAAAACCTGAGGCTGACTGTGTGAAGAAATAGGAAGAGCTTGAACAGTGTGAAGGCTGTCACATGTATGCATTTGTGTGCGTGCACAGGCATATTTTACTGATCTAAAATCAGTCTATGCAGAGCTAATGTGGGAGCTATGAGACTCCCCAGACAACAAGGGCCACAGCACTCTTCCTGTTCTGAAATTAGGGAATAACTGTTTCAGGGCTTGTAAGTAAACTTGTCACGAGCATTAGAAAACAACTTGTAGGCTTGGGATGCCTGCACATTGTGGTGTTCCATTAGGGGTTGGTTCCCTTTTCAGAGGCTAACTGTCCCCTGTGTCATACCTTTTCCTGTTTGTCTTCTACCACATGTGCTGTGTATTCAGGTGCTTTCTTAGCATCTCTATCCAGGATGAGAATTGTTCATCATGTTAGAAAATTATTTTTTAAGTACAAGTCTTCTGTATGTGTAATGACTTTACATTTAATATAACATTCATCCTCACTGGGTTTTCTATGTATGATTATACAACCAAAAAGTGATTTAATGGTAGGAATTGCCTCTAGACAGATATATAGTGAGTAGAGTCTTGGATCTTGGATTTGGGCCCACAGGGGATTTCAATCTACTGTCATTTTATTGCAGAGGATATTTATTCCTCAAGAAGCACAAGCATCATGGGAGTTGAGAAATCAGATGATGTTCTTTGACCTTTATTTGATGCACAAAATTTGATTTCACTTCTTCATGAAGAAAACCATTTTAGCCTGTATGATTTTCTACTACATATTTAGTTTAAATAAGTTTGGCCAAATTGATAAAATAAGCAAAAATTAACTCTTTCTGATCTATTGCTTATGTAGTAGTTAATTTGCCACATATTGGTAGACATAATTAATATTAGATCAAGAATTTGAATTATTGAGCAAAGAGTTAGTGGTTTGGAATTTTTTTCATGGTTGTATTAATGGATGATAGAGAATTTTTCTTACAGTAAGTAGTTTTGGTAAATCAATTCCTCACATAGAATATTAACCACTTCCCCAAGGACTTAAAAATAGCATACTACAGGGATACAGCCATATCAGTGTTTATAGCAGCACAATTCACAATAGCTACATTGTGGAACCAACCCAGATACCCTTCAGTAGATGAATGGATAGGGAAACTTTGGCATATATACACAATGGAACATTACTCAGCATTAAAAGAGAATAAAATCATGGCATTTTCAGGTAAATGGATGGAGTTGAAAAATATCACCCTCAATGAAGTAAGCCAATCCTGAAAAAACAAAGGCCTGATATAAGGATGCTGACTCATAATGGCAATGGTGGGGGGAGCATGGGAGGAATGGAGGAAATTTAGATAGGGCACAGGGGAGGGAGGGGAAGGGAGGGGGCAAGGGGGTAAGAATGATGGTGGAATGAGTTAGATATCATTACCCTAAGTACATGTATAAGACACGAATGGTGTGAAAATACTTTGTGTACAACCAGTGTCTTGAAAAATTGTGCTCTGGATGTGTAATATGAAATGAATTGCATTCTGCCATCATGTATAACAAATTACAATAACTGAATAATTTAATAAAAATATGAACCCCTTGTATGTAGGACTTATAATGCATGACATATAACATGTAATATTTTTTTAATGGATAGATGATCATTCTGGAAAATCTTATATATGTTTCAGGACCTGATCTTCAGGTTTGCATATCTAAAAAGCCAACATGTTGCACAAGGAAGATGGAGGAGAGATACCAAATTGCAGCTCGCCAAGATCTGCAGCAGGTGCTTCAAGCATCCACCTCTACATTAAAGCTGCTAATATCTCGAAATGCAGCTGCTTTTCAAGGTAAATGTGTTTGAGCTTTGGAACTAAGGACCAGTTCTGTGTAATTTGCCTATTTCAGTGATAATGGTAAATGTGACTAGGTATATTTCCTTATATTTGCATACTATTTTGGCATAAAGTGAAGTTTTATCTTTTTCTAACCTTTATAATTTGTTTTGGAGGTTATCTTGGGCATATTTTTGAGTTGGACTAGAGAAACAGTTATATTACTAAAGTTGTCGTTATACACATGCCTAAATTTATAGGGTTCTTTTGGGTTCTCCAGTATTCTGACCCATGGTTTTACTTAAGTGTGAACATACATAATTATTAAGTTTCATGAAAAATGTCTACAGCATAAAATCTCATTGCTTTTATCTGGGTAGTTATAGGTAAATTTTTAAAAATATGATTTGAAGAAATATTTGTCTGAGTTTTCCCCTGTACCTTCATGTGTTTTTTTTTAAAAAAATTTTAGTTGTTATTTTATTTATTTGTATGTGGTGCTGAGAATCGAACCCAGTGCCTCATGAATGCTAGGCAAGCACTCTATCACTAAGTTACAACCCCATTCCCTTATGTGGTTTTCATGAGAGTATCAGTTCAGTTATATCAAAGTGCAGGCAGGTAGGCCTGGTAAATAATCAACTGGGGAATATTAATTGGATGTTTAAGGGTCAGCTAAGACCACAACTCAGCTATATTTCAAACAATATGTTCAGAAATAAAATTAATGAGTTATAAAATTAAGGAGCAAAATGAAAAATACATGATATTTTTCTTATTTTAGTCATCTCTTCCATAAAATTTCTTATTGCTACAATAAAATAGCTTAATTTATTTTTCCCTTTTATAAAGCATTAGCTACTCTGTATATGACTAGAATGAATATATCTATATTACATTGCTTTTCAAACAAATTTATTGCTTTTGTTCAACATAGGATATAACTTCTGTTAATATTCTTTTTTAATAAGTATATTAATGTCAATGTATTTAAATAATTTGCTTTGTTTGCACACATAGCTGATTAATTTTTAAAGCCATACTTACTAAATAAAATAAATACAACAAATCAGAATAAAATTTAAGTTGAGTTAAATGTAGTACATGATGAATTGATGATATTTTTATATAAATGTTAAAATGTTAGATTTTAAGATGCTATTAATTTTACATTGTGTTAAGATGGCTTAGAATGTGATTTTATTCTGACATGGGATTTATTCATATGAAATTGTTGAAGAAAAAATTTTTGATATACATTTTAGACCAAGAAATGTGGTTTGAACTGGTTGAATTAGAAGGTTGCAGCTACCCACTGGAAGTGATATGATTATTTCTCATGAAAATGATAGTGTGTACAATACAGAAGATGCATTTTAGAGGTAAATGGGCAGTGAATAGAAAAACCTGAGCCAAACAGAGGGTTAGTGGTTGTCAAACAGATGCTGGTAAAGGTAAGCCAGACTCAGTGAAGAAGACTTCAAACACAGATGTTAAGTTTGAGTTATTGAATTTTTTAAACTGGGAAGCTTTCTTATGATTTATCATCTTTTAATGTCAAAACTACATTTCTCCAAATAAGAAGATGCCTGAAGATCATGATGAATTTAGTCAGTTTTTTTGAATAGCAGTATTTGTAGGTAAGAGCAAGTGTTACAGTTACTAACAGGCCCTCAGTGTAGCTGAACATTTCTGCTGCCTTCAAAGACACAGACACAGACTTTTCACATATTCTTAGATAAATTGATAAAGATGGAGCATATTCAATTCAAAAGATTGGAAAACCTGGAATATTTAGATTTTAAGATGAATTGAAGCTACTGAAAGCTTTTGGTGATATTGCTAAAAATTGGTAACTATTTAAGTAACAGAAATGCATATTAGGGTATGAGATTGTCTTTAACTACCAGAGGGCCAGGTAATTTTATGTAGCCTTTTGTTATTTTATGTTTAATAAATTGCACCTCTGCATTTAATAGGTTGATTTTTGCTGTTTATTTAAAACTTAATTATAAAAGTAAAAAGGTAGAAACATTCTTAAATATGATTTGTTCTAAAAAATTGTCATTTTTCTCTTTTCTTGGAATGTCAAATTTTATTTAAGAAGCATGAATAGGCAAGACAAATTTAGAAGAAATTTGCCCAAAGGCCAACTTTACTAGAATAAATTATTGTTCAAGAATATCAGACTTTAATTTAGAATAAAATAAATAGCTTTAGGCGTATTTTCATGAAAACAAGCATAAGTATATATATGCTAAAAGCAATATGAGAGATCTTATTTGCTGTATCATAACTGAGCAGATTAGCATAATTTTTCAATAAGTAAAATGCTGTCTATCTAGTTTCTATACAATCAAAAGAGCTGAAAAATTTTCAGGTCTTTATTTTCACAAGAAAAAAAAAGTCAACACATTTTTATTAGGAAATCTAGTCTGCTTGAGAGAAATTTAATAGCAAAATCAATTCACTTCTCCCATGATGTAAGTAGATTTGCTGTGTTTTGATCTTTAATTTTTAAATACTTCATGTATATTTTACTATGCATTACATCAACAATTTTAACTTTCTTTTAAGTGGTATTGAGTATTATTAAAGACGTTGTACTGGGGTATATTATGGTGTCTTCCCTTATGGCTTTTACGGGACTCCATGGAAACATTTTTTTTTTGAACAGTCCCTTGAATTGGGATGATCCCTCTGGTCTGCGTATTTAGTGGTTCCCACACTACTCTTAGATGAAAGCTGTGAGTTTGGAAGTGCAAAGGGGAGAGAGGAAGCCCTGTGGGCTGGCTCCAGGTACTACTAGAATCATAAGATTATTATTCTATGTGGAGTTTGCATTTAGCTCTGGAGTCTGCCACCAGGGTACGTATGGGTTAGGCAAGAGTTGGCCTCTGGGACAACTCTACATTTTTTCCCCCTAAGGAATTTATTGTAGTTTGTTTCAGTCAAATTTCCTTAAAATAAACAAAATAGTTAATACAAAAATCTGTTGTTGAAGGGCCCATAATTGTGACCTAGGATGTCATTATTTCCTAAGGGCTACTCATGCAGGATTTTAGAAAGTAAAAGGAACAAGCTGATATTCCTGTTTCTGTTCACAGTGAAGAAGTGCTGTTTGCAAGAGAAGTGCTGGTCTTGTCATAGTGCAGACAATAACTATTCTTCATTTGCAGGGGCTTAACAGTGTTCAGGAATAAAACAGAACTGCCTGGAGTGAGGCAAGAATTCCTTTTCCTTCTACTATTTTACTATGAGATTTTGTTCTTTAAAAGTATTTTAGAATTTAAAACAAATAAATATATATTTTTTTACGCTGAAGTATACTGCGAATCATGAAGAAATAGGGGAAATTGACAGAATATGTCACTTACTATAAAAATTAACTCTTATCTAGTGTTCAAATTTGTCAGTTTTAAAATCCCTTCAAATAAGATAATGGGAATTCTTAAAATTAAAAAAAATAACTGAAATTTTAGCTTCACCTTCAAAAATAAAATTAAGGAATATTTTGGAGGGCACTATTTGAAGATTGCGTTTTGTTGAAATCTTGAGGAGATGAAGTTAGTGCTATATTTTTCCTTATATGTGTAACTTTCTATATTTCTCTCATCTTCAAATATATCCATGTATTTATAAAATATATGGTAGATAGTCTTTATTTTTTGAAAATTTCTAGTTTTATATATGTCATCTAAAATGAATATTATTACAAAACTTTGAGTGATAAATGATATTTAGAAGAGGAATGATTTCACATTTTTTTATGATTTTATTCTTTTGGCTAATTAAATATTCATTCCTTAATTATAAGTACTTGAAAGATTGGCAAGCTTGTCCTCTCAGGTTGAAATGTTAAATTCTAGAATTTAGTGAAAACTACATTCCTATTTTTAATGCAACGTAGGAATATGTTCAAGATTTTAATGTCTTATTTTAAAAAGCAGGTGATAAAAAGAGCATGCTACAGGGACACTGCTACATCAATGTTCATAGCAGCACAATTCACAATAGTAAGACTGTGGAACCAACCTAGATGCCCTTCAATAGATGAATGGATAAAAAAAATGTGGCATTTATACACAATGGAGTATTACTCTGCATTAAAAAATGACAAAATCATAGAATTTACAGGGAAATGGATGGCATTAGAGCAGATTATGCTAAGTGAAGCTAGCCAATCTCTAAAAAACAAATGCCAAATGTCTTCTTTGATATAAGGAGAGTAACTAAGAACAGAGTAGGGTCGAAGAGCATGAGAAGAAGATTAATATTAAACAGGGATGAGAGGTGGGAGGGAAAGGGAGAGAGAAGGGAAATTGCATGGAAATGGAAGGAGACCCTCAGAGCTATACAAAAGTACATACAAGAGGAAGTGAGGGGAAAGGGAAAAATAATACAAGGGGGACAAATGAATGTCAGTAGAGGGGGCAGAGAGAGAAGAGGGGAGGGGAGGGGAGGGGAGGGGGGATAGTAGAGGATAGGAAAGGCAGCAGAACACAACAGACACTAGTATGGCAATATGTAAATCAATGGATGTGTAACTGATGTAATTCTGCAATCTGTATATGGGGTAAAAATGGGAGCTCATAACCCACTTGAATCAAAGTGTGAAATATGATATATCAAGAACTATGTAATGTTTTGAACAGCCAACAATAAAAAATTTAAAAAAAAAAAGTGAGACCAGTCTTCAAAAAAAAAAAAAAAAAAGCAACAAGAGCAAATGTTGATTACGACTGCCTGCATTTTATAACAAAGACTTTTCATGCTGTTGGTTTAAGCTATTCTAAAAATTAAATGATTCCTTTAGTTAGGGACTTTAAGGATCTGACAACACCAAAATTAGTTTCTGTACAACTGCGTGCCTATTGTTACCAATGCCGTATTACACAATTAAATGTTTGCTAAGATGGTAGATCTCATGTTAAGTTTTCTTACCACAACAAAAATTTACCTTCTTTTCTCAGCTGCTAACACTATATTTACAGCATTGTAATATTTTTACAGAC